TATAAATTATTTTTCTTTTAAAAAAAATGGCTTTAGCATATATGTGTTGTAGGTGTGCGTGATCCATATAAAAAATATATACTTACAAGACATGAATATATATATATTTAAACAATATTGTGTTTGAATTATAAATTAAGCTTAAAAATTAAATAGAAAGTTACTAAAAATGTTGATCGTGGTAAATAGTTTAGTGCTTCTTGCGTCTGAAATGCTGAGTTAAATACATGAAATTAACTGTTGAGAAAAAAATCATGTGACTAAGAAAATTAATTTACATAGAGAAAAATAAGTATGACTTGTTCAATATGAGAAATAAGCACTTTTTGGTATACAGTCAGAAGCAAAAAGTGATTGTATTCCAATTTAAATGAATACAACATAATTGAAGAGGAACAGAGTATATTTGATCGATTTTGCGTTTTTGTATTCGAATTTGCTTGGCTTTCGATTTTGTAACAACCAGAGTGTAAATTTGCAACAAAAAGATTTTTAGGGAGTGATTTCAGCTAATTTACTATAACAGAAAAGATCAGTTCCTTGTTTCAAGCAATTAGTTAGTTTGTATTTGTAATTTTTTTCTCCGCAAAAAAGTACAACAAATACAATGTGTAGCAAATCAAAGTGTAATTGGGAATTGTAATCAAGGTATGTTATCTATATATTTAATAAAGCTAGATATAATCAAGGTGATGTGGCACCGGCCACCATTCATATATATCTTTATTCTCCTTTTTTTGAATTTTTTCCATTAAACAATTATACATTTAATAATTAAATAAATTATCATATTTACTATATCTAATAATGTTTCACGAGTTACAAAAAAAAAACTTTATCTATTTGCATTCTCTACATAAATATTATATCTTCTCAACTTTCTTTTACCTAATTTTTCATGATTAATCAATCTATAAATAACAATCCTCCAAATATGGACAAATTAATTAATAGTATGTATAAGAGAAGCCCAAAGAACGCCATAAAAAAATATATAAAAAGAAATGATTTTCATTTTCCCAGGGTGGTTTTTGGTTATAAAATATCGTCCAGTTTAAGTAAATAAGAATAACAAATATTGTTTTCAATTAAATACTTAATTTTCTTTCTATGAATCTAGAAAACTTTTGTTATTTTTCGTAACATAAACCTAAAAGTCTTTATACTTAATTTGTGCACAAGAGGAAATTTTTTCACTTGAATCATATTAAAAAGAACGTCAATCAAGACGATTCTAATGAAAAAATTACATTTGTAATCCGTTTATTTAATATATATAATAGTAATATTTTTATGACTCCGCAAAGCGCGGCTATGTTTACTAATAAGAGAATAAACAATTTGAACTCCATAAAGCCAAATCTAATACTCAACAAATATATGAAGAGTAGTAGTTTTTTTACACTTTTTAAGTCAAAGTTCGTCAACATCTTCAAATATATTTGTTAAGAAATTGACTAAAACTAACTTCAAAAGCTAGCTCATGAGGTACGAAGTGCGGAGGATTGTTCAAACAATGTAGAACACTTAACAAAAATCAATTATCATTTTGTTGATACTGTCAAAAACTATTTACAGAAAGTGTAGGTGGCTCACCCACCAAATATGTACATAAACCTCTACATACACCCAAAGATCTAGCCAACTATATACATAATGTACACTCTATCTTACACCAAAAGTATAAAAGAAGCAAAAGTCAACGCACGACCCTCAGCAACTGACTCTCTGCTCCTACAAAAGTTCAATTTCTTTCCCTCCACAAATTAACTAGTTTCCTTCTTTTCAATCACACCGGAAACTCTACTATAATAAGGACAAAAAATGAGAATAATGGAGGAAAGTAGCCTGAAAGAGATGAGAAACTAGAACGTAGAACGGAGATGGGGGATAATATATTGAGTCTAAGCTGCAACAAATACGCATAAAACTATTCTTTCTAACACACAGTCCTTTTAACCAGTAGCTTAATTGGGCATGTATCCCAAATAAAACTATCTAATATTTTACTCGACCCAACAATTCCAATTGAATCAGTCTCCACCAATTCTAGCCCATAGTCCCTTATAGTCCAGCTTGGTTCACAATAATACTCCCAACCTCGATAAGAACCTTGTCCTCAAGGTTCGACTAAAAAATGAAAACGAGTTGAGAATATCAATCCATTGAGTGAGACCAGTCCAGCAGGCGCTAGCGCTATCATGTATCCATTGTGTAGAATAATATTCTCCTAAGATGAGCTCTACGTCAGAACCTTCTATATTATATATAATGTTATATAGAGTACAATGTATGACTAGGACTCTAATAAGAGTACAAGCTTATGTAAATAAGGACTCTTAGAGTACTAAGTGTAAGACTAAAAGGATTCAACCTATTCTACATGCATTAATACACCCCTCAATAAGGACTGGCCGAAGTAATGGACAGATTGTCTCGTAGAAAATAAAAGTGAGATGAAGGCAGGCCCTTTGTGAAGATATCAACTAACTGCAATTGTGTCGGAACATATTGAACTATAAGATCCCCTTGTGCAATCTTGTCACGAACAAAATGAAAATCAACGACAATATGTTTCAAGCGATCATGAAAAACTGGATTGCGGGTCATGTAAGTGGAGTTGATGTTATCACACAATACACAAATTGGTTCATGAAAAAAGATACCAAGCTTACAAAGGATGTGACAAATCCAACAAGTCTCAGTAATAGTGTATGCAACAGCCTGATACTCAGCCTCTGTAGATGATTTTGAAACTGTTAGTTGCTTCTTCGCACGCCAAGAGATAAGATTAGATCCTAGGAACATAGCAAAACCAGAAGTAGAACGACGACTATCAGGACAACCAGCCCAATCAACATCGGAGTAAGCAATAACCATGGAAGTTGGTGATGAGGCACGTAAAGTCAGACCATAAGTCAGAGTACCCTGCAAATACCTAAAAATACAGTTGATACAATGCATGTGAGTAGCATGCATAAATTGAGAGACAACATTTACGGCCTTGAAAATATTTGGACGTATTGAAGAGCATGCTCCTATATTCACTAGGATCAGAAAGTAACTCACCGTCCATTAGAGAGATAGAAGTGCGAGAAGCAAGAGGGGTACATATAGGTTTGCATGTGTGCATGTGAAATTTAAGCAATAAATCAGAAATGTACTTTTGTTGAGACAAGTGAAGACCATGAGATGAACGAACCACTTGAATACCAAGAAAATAATGAAGATTGCCTAAATCCTTCATTGCAAATTGATAAGATAAACGTGATATAAATTTATCAAGAAGACCATTATGACTAGCTGTGAGAATAATATCATCGACATAGAGGGAGATAATAAGGACATGAGAAGAAAAACGATATATAAACATTGAACTATCAGATTTGCTGCAAATAAAACTATGAGAAATAAGAAATGAACTGAAGCGATGAAACCAAGTCCGATGAGCTTGTTTCAAGCCATAGATGACTTTGGTTAGCTTGCAAACATGAGTAGGATAGTTAGGATGAATGAAACCGGGAGGATGCTTCATGTAGACATCCTTAGTAAGGACACCGTGCAAAAATGCATTTTTAACATCCAACTGGCGAATCTGCCAAGAAAAGGAGACAACAAGGGAAAGAATAATTCTCACAGTTGTTGCACGGACAACAAGGCTAAAAGTCTCATGATAATCGATGCTAGGTTTTTGATGAAAGCCTTGTGCTACAAGACGAGCCTTATACCGCTCAATAGATCCATATGAATTATATTTTATGTAATATACCCATTTAGAACCAACTAAGTTCATGTTCGAAATACACAGAACAAGGACCCACGTTTTTTTCTCCAAAAGGGCATTAAATTCATCTGTCATTGCTTGTTGCCACTTCGAATTTTTCACACTTTTGAGATACATATTCTTCAATTATGATTTTACGCTTAACTATCTTTTTATCTTTAGATGTAATATTTAAAAAAATTAGTTGATTTGTATTTTTTTAAAGTTATTTTTGCTTTTCTACATATGCATGAGCATACAACATTTGATTACTATGGTAGAGAATGAATAAGTCACTCATTACACCAAGCATGGTGAAGTGATGCAATGTTATTGGAGTTTGTTTCAATTGGAGATGCTTTGCTATTTACACTATAAGTGGATGTATAATGCACTTTATTTCAGTTTAGTATTTACATTGGTCTACGTCTTTTGTTTGGATATGCGGTTCAAGTGCGTATCTATGTCGATATATTTTATATAACATCTAAATTGTAATTTGCTTTGTATGGCTTCTCGATATTCATAATCTTTACAAACTTAAATTCATGTTAGTCTAATATAATATTATATAAAATAAAAATTATTTTTATGGACTCGTGGATGAATGCAAGAAAGAAAAATTATACAACAAAGTTGTGACTCGTGAAATAGAACTAGAAGCCCTCTGTATTGTTATTTGTACAAAAACCTCTATCAAGACTAACAACCTTAGAAAATATTGAATTTAAAGTTATATATTAACATAGACTAAAACTTAAATCTAACGAAAAATTATATCACAAAGCAGTGAAAACTCGTAAAATAGAACGACAAGCCCTCTGTATTGTTCATTTGTACAAAAACCTTTGACAAGCCTAACTAACAGTCTTAGAAAATATTGAATCTATAGTAAATATATTAACATATACTAAAACTTAATCCTTACGCAAGGTGAAGCTATAGAGCACATGTTACGATTTAGCCCAAATCTAATTAATTTATGTCCAAAATATTTTTTAGGTACTAAAAAGGAGTATAAAATAACAAATAAAGCTATTAAAACTTAGTAAAAATTAAACGGGTTGAGTTATGACTCATTACTAATTCGTTATCTAACCCGTTTTGACCCAACTCATTAGATCTTAACCTGTTTATTTGCTCGACTCATTTTAACTAGTCCAAATTTAATTCAATCCATCTAAATTTAACCCAATCCGCCCAATTGACATGCCACACCGAAGCAACTGCCCGTACAGTTAAAATTGGAGTATCATAGTGATAGGAAGATAGTACTAATTGATTGATTAATTCCTAAATCTCTTGAGATGATTGGAAGTATCCTACTTCCGGCGCCGGCACAACTGTTAAGTCACCGGCTAAGCCTCTGGAACCGCCGTCCACGGCCATGTCCTCGGTGCTCATTGAGCAAACAAGGCCACCGCTTTCTCTCCACCCTTATCGCCGCCGACTCCGAAGATATCTCCGCTACCCGCCACTTACTTCGCAAATTCGTCGCCTCATCTTCCAAACACGTCGCTCTCAGTACTCTATCTCACCTTGTATCTCCTACTACTACCTCTCATTATCGCCTCTGTTCTCTTGCCCTCCCCGTACGTCTCTCTTATCATGTATTTCAGTTTGTCCTCGATTCACTGTGACGCAGAATGTTTATTTGCAGTTATGTTTTTCATTTTTTCCTTCTAACTGATCACGGCTAAGTATGACTCAATGCGAAGCAAATTGTTTGTTTTCAGCTGTATCATTATGTGTTTTCAATTTTGTCATACTTGTTTTCGATAAGTTTGATTAAATGCAAAGCAAAATGCTTTCTGCAGTTGTATTTGGAAATCAGTGAAGCGTCATGGTTTGATTGGAACTCGAAACTAGTGGCAGACTTGGTTGCATTGCTTTACAAGCTAGAGAGATTTGATGAAGCTGAAACCCTAGTTACTGAAACGGTATCTAAATTGGGAAGCCGAGAACGAGATTTGTGCAGTTTCTACTCTCAATTAATCCATTCACAATCTAAGCACAATTCGGAGAGAGGAGTTTTGGATTTTTGTACAAAACTGAAGCTTGTTCTCTTGCGTTCCTCGTCTGTTTATTTGAAGCAACGAGGGTATGCCTCAATGGTTGAAGGATTTTGTCTTATTGGATTACCGCGTAAAGCTGAGGAATTGATGGAAGAGATGAAGGAATTAGGACTGAAATTGTCAAAGTTTGAATTTAGGTCTCTAGTTTATTCATATGGGAAATCAGGATACTTGAGAGATATGAAAAGGATTGTAGTTGAAATGGAGAGTATGGGTTTTCAATTAGATACAGTTAGCTCGAATATGGTGCTTAATTCATTTGGATCTCACAATGAGTTGTCAGAAGTGGTTTCGTCGCTCCAAAAAATCGAAGCTTCAGGTGTTCCATTTTCTATTAGAACTTACAATTCAGTTTTGAATTCCTGCCCAACAATTAGTCTATTACTGCAAGATCTGAAGAGTGTCCCTCTTTCTTTGGAAGAGTTAATGGGCAATCTGGATGAGAATGAAGCGGTTTTAGTTAATATATTGGTTGGATCCTCGGTTTTGGAGGAGACAATGCAGTGGAAGCCTTCAGAGTTGAAGTTGGACTTGCATGGGATGCATTTGACCTCTGCTTATGTGATCATATTACAATGGTTTCATCAGCTTCAATGCAAGTTTCTTGCTGAAAATCGTGTTCTTCCAGGTGAAATCATAGTGGTGTGTGGAGCAGGAAAACACAGTGTTGTTAGAGGAGAATCCCCTGTGAAACGGTTGATCAAGGAAATTTTACTGCGGATTGGATGTCCACTCAGGATTGATAGGAAGAACATTGGATGTTTCATTGCTAAGGGAAAGAGTTTCATGGAGTGGTTATCAAATTATAATGCCACTACACATGAAAGGATATCATGACAGCCACAAGTCCTAGATGTTTAATACATTAAGATGATATCATGAAAGACCGCAAGAAGAAGCAGAAGAGGTTGAATGGATTGATCCTTATCATACCAGTTGGTTATGATTGAGTAGAAACACGATCATCTGATATCCTCAAACATGCACTTTTCTGTTACAATAGCGAGACAGCTGATAAGAGAAAGGTAAATCATCATTAATTGTTGAAGCATGTCGCTTTTTGTTGAACAATTATCATCAGCTATTGAAGCATCTAAAATTTTGCTGAATATCATGAGCTGTTCTAGCATTTAATATTTGGTTATTGGCCTAAATTACCTGTGTTTCACAATTGCAAATCTCCTGCATAGAAGTCCAACAAACAAATCGAGCTGCATAAGCAGTTCAATGCAGCTCAGAAGTAAGCAATCACAGCATTTGGCACGCAAAATGGAGAAACAAATTGTTGCCAGATATCCTGTGTAAGCAATATATGAAATCATTACTCTCGCAGGCTTTATAAGCAAATTCTTAAAGATCAAGGTCCTTGTTTGGGTGATTATTCATAATAGTGGAAGACAAACACGAGGGCAAAACCTATTTGCAGCATAGATTGCTCTACCTAACCAACCACATTACAATGTCTACAGCTCCATAGAGAAACATTGGGTAGCAAAAGTATTGTCATTCTGTCTCATGATGGTATCCAAATAACTGTCAGCAATAATTCAACATCCACCACTCTGCAAGATTTGTGAGACCAACGGTGGACTAAGGAGTATTTACAAGTTCTTTGGGTCAAGAAGTAGGAACCTCTCCAACAAGTATCAAAGAACAATCTTGGTCTCCGCAGCAAGAGGCAATAATGATGTAGCTCCAACATGAACAATAATTCTGTGCAGCCGTGCTTCAGTATTTCTGATGTCCAGCCGCAGATTTTAAGCAAGGTCAGCAGGAAGTTATGTCCCATTATTTTATTCGTGGTATGATAATAAATATTAGATCAATGATCAGTAGGTGGAAAGGATCCCTGTACTAAAGAATTTGGGCAACTGAATGCAATTCACTCAACTAACCACTTCCTTCTTGCGAAAGCGATATTCAATGCAAGGGGACTTGCTAGCTTACTATTAATCAAAAGAATCTCACTTCAAAGTAATTTAGCTAAAGCCAGCTCCTATTAAATTTATCATTACTAGAAATGTTGTGCTTTATGGGCTCGTCTATACGTGAATCCTCCAATATTACAATCTTACTTGATCCCAATTCATCCCCGAACTGTATGTTCTTGTAATCCATTTTCATTCTACATTATAAAAATATCCTTGTTATCTCCCCTTGATTGATATATTCATCTTTTGTAGGCAGGGATAGATGTGTATCTTCGTAGCAGGTATAATAGGCATGGATAGATGTGCATCCTCAATAGCATATAGAGACACACTCACTACTTCTGGTTCAAGCTATTTTATATAATTGCATGATTTTTTAAAATATAGTATATGTATTTATACTGATTTTACTTCCATTGTTACTATGTGGATGAAGTGGTACTTTGTATCGCAAATCCTGAATCTGCCTATGTTAGAAGGGAAAAACTGCTAATTATTGAAAACTTGTCTACTTTCAAAAGTGGAAAACAACTTCTGCCTAGACCATCAAGGGTAAGACACCAAAAAACCCGTGGCCTGAATGTCCTATTCTAATAAAAGAACATCAAAAATATAACTCTCGCCTTTAGAAATTGGAGCATCTGTGAGCCAATTCCTATTAGATTTTCATGTTTAATTCCCAGCAGTAGGCCAAGTTGAGGGAACCCTGTTGGAGGTAATGGGAGGCATACCACGAACATTGATGTCAATGGGATACAGGCGGTACTCAATGTCAAACTCTTTGAAAACTTTAATCATCTCCTCAATCAATTGCGCTCGTCTGTTCCATCTCTCTCCCATGTCCTGATGGTTAACTCTATGTCTGATCCATACAGATAGTTTCAACCTGTTTAGATCTTCTAGGTTCATCAACACCACCGAAGGAGAGGGATACCAGTGGTCCTTCTTGTTCTCAATATAACTGCAATAGCAAACCACAAAGATTATGTCCAATCATAACTCATACTTGTTTAAATCTTCCAGGTTCTACATACTTTCTTCAAACTTCAAAGTACTCATAGTGGTGATAAAAGATTATATTGGATGACAAGAACAAACATATACCTGATTATTCTTTGTTTCATAGCAGCAATTTTCTCTGCTGGTGTAGAAATGTGGACCGTAAAATCAACCGAGTCTCCCATATCAGGACTGCGGTAGTAATTACCAATAGGTCGTGTTAAAAGAGTGCTATTTGGATATATTATCTTTTGGTTGTCAAACCTCAGAAAGACTGTAGTTAAAATATTCATCTCTTCGACAATCATCTGAAAATTGAAAATAAATAAATCAGGCCTTACTAAACACATAAATACACTAACAATAATATTCCCACTCTTCCATTTTATATGATACATAAATACACTAACAAGAATGACACCTTTTTATATTTGGAAAGTTTTTAACGTAAACTTCCCCTTTTACCCTTAAGGACATGCTCTTATAACCCTAGAATTGTCATGACACATTTAAGATCACAAGCTCTAACGGTGCTTTTGGTATGTGTCAAAAGTCTTTCTTTCTTAAGTTATATGACTTATCTGACACTGTCATGTAAAATGAAAAGGATGGAGTATTATTATGGTTGAATAGACATTTCAAAGTGGAAAAAAGATCAAGAAAGTATGCTATATACCTGAACTGCATCAATCTCACATCGGTCGCCCACATCAAAGGGATGCATCACAAATAAGAAAATAATAGATTCAAATATGGTTTTGCATGTGTTTCCAAATACAAATGCCACAACAACGACTTGAGAGCTGATGAAGAGCAAGAACTTGCTGGTTGCGATCCCTAAAATCACAAGGCAGATGACAAGAATGATGATGCTGACTAAAACATTCACCATCTGATGAAGTTTGTTCACTGCTGTTTTTGTATCATTTAGCGTCAAAGCTAGAGCTCTCCGTTCTCTGAATGCATTCACCTACAAAAATTAAGGATAGTTATTTGATACTCCTATTTGTGTATGCAATTTGATAAGATCACAAGAGTATGTGCTCAACTTCATCAAGAATTAATGAGCAAAAAGGTACAGTTAAACTCCTTGCGGATATATCTTGTATCCACTGGCATACAGTCAGTGCAATTTAACTTGTTGTTGCAGGGTCCTTGTCTTATTTCCAGGTTATATTAGTTCCACTGATTGGGGGTAATTTCCTTTAAAGTGATTTAGATGTTAAATCCATTGCTTCTATGATCATTTCTTACCACCCAGTTCTTGAGTGATGCTTTACTGATCTTTTCTCTGTCCGGTGATCCTTCCACAAGATTCATAGTCTTCAAAGCTTCTTCTTCTCGCAAGAAGCTACTTAAGTCCTTCAGATAGATGAACCTGTTAGAAGAACAAAGTTTGGGACTCAATTTACTGAAGTAATATGACCAGTTGACTGTTTTTTTAAGTATATGATCCTTTTGTCTGACATAACAAGTATCAAAAGATATGGAAAAGTGTAACTGATCAAAACTTTAAGAATTAAGATTAATAAAAGTCACACTACACCAGGTAGCTGGCTAAACCTAAGCTGTATATCGGTATGCAGTACAGCAGTAGTAATTCCAAAATTGGACATAATTCAGGAATCAGGACTATGAAATGGTTATCTCCATAAATTAGGTACTATTATTTAACAAGAAAGATACGTAAAAGGATCACAAACTGTGGAAAATTACAGATATGTATCTTTCTATACTGTCTTCTTTTGTGTTATCTGTATTAGCACAAGATGAGGGGGAAGAAGCAGCAGGACTAGCTAGGAAACTTGATGAATATGTGATGCTGCAAATGATCTGGTTAGTTTTTCCTTTTTTCTCTTCTTTTTTGTTATTTTTCTTGTTTTGTGAGGCCATATTCATTTATCTTTTTTCAGCTAAAAAAAGAATCTACTTGTCTCGTCCTCACAGGAAAATAAGAGAAGGTTTCGCTCTTGAAAGTCTTCAAAAACTAGTAAAATAATGTGCTCTCTTACCTTAATTTTAACCTCTAAGAAGTTCGATGTCTTCTAGTTCTAGAAAAATGATTTGGATTAATTAGATGTACCTGGAAATTATGAAATTACTTACTTGGACCTAGGCTTGGCAACATTTCTGAATATTTTCCTGGCAGCAACTTTGGCCTCATATTCACTTCTTATCTGTGTAGTAGAATCATCTTCTCTTTTGGTATCATGTATTTGCTCATCCAACGTAGATATTACCCCATATCTTACTATTTTAATCAATCTCTTCATATTCCAAGCTGAAATATTCTTGGGATTCAACTTATGCAAATGATCAATGGATATCCCTTGGTTCGGTTCATCTGGATTTTTTGACAAGGGACCAGAAATGGCGATACTTACTGTTCTTGATGGTTTTGGTGTTGGTGTTTGCCCACCATTAACACTTGCACCTTTACTACTGTATCGAGGAGCAAGTGGGGGCCTAAGTTCTGGTGGCAACTGTGCCCCTGCAATATTCTGTAGCTTCCAAACTTCAGCCAATGTTCTGTCCTCTTCTTCTTGAGATCGATGGATTTCAAGCAAAGGCGGACCTGATAATGTCTCAATCACATACTGGTTGAACAATGACTCTTGAATTCGATCGAAGAAAGTACTAACATGAAATGAAGATGCTAGGACTTTAACCATGAGAGTTTTCACCAACCATAACATTGTCCCAATTAGCATACATATCATCAGTTTATTGATGTACCCCAAGAACTTATTAGTTGTATCAACTTTCTGATCAAACATGGAATGCCAAGCAATTAAAACCAACCCTAACCAAAGACAATTCTGGACAGGTTTTCTAACACCATAAACGAAATATAGTACCCTTTTCCGCAATAGAAAATTCCTCTCAATACAGAACACAACTAACCGAATCACCCATCCTGATAACAATCTCCCACATATTAAAACAAGAACCAAAACTAACCATTTCCACAAATGAAGTCCTCTTAATATTCTGCTCTTCAACAAAGGAATAGTAAGTGTGCAGATTAAAGCTGTAACAATTACAATAAGACTTATCCATTGTAACAGCGTCCAGCAATCAACTTTGCCCTTTTTAAATTCCTCTGGAAGATCTTCATCGAATAACGGATCGTCATCTTCCTCCTCTGGTGGCTTTAGCATCCCCGAAGTTCTTCCTAACACTCCAGATTTTAATTGACCAGATTTTCCTATTTTTCCTGATCTCCTCTCAGGTATATCAGGCGGCGGGTCAATTAGCCTTGATTTTGTCTTTACTCTCCCTAATACACTCGCTCTTCTTTGAAACGAAGTGCACCTTAGCACCTGATCACTTTCACCAGCACCATTTTTAGGAGTGTAATAAGCAGTGTTGCTGTTATTATTATCATCTGGAGAATTATTCATGTTTATGGTCCTTCTTCGGTTAAGATGCTTTTGCTCATTGGGTGTTGCATCACTAATTGCACCATCCTCTTCATCGCTCGATGAATCATTATTATAAGGTTGGTCAGGCTCGATGTCAACCACGTTACTAGATGGTGACGGATCCTGAAATGAAACTCTAAGTTCTCTTGATGTCGTATGACTATGATTGTGTGTGTGATCAGGGGGGAAATTTATTAGGGGACTGGATCCAGCAGCGCTATGATCATTTTCAGGTTTCGGATGCCTCCTCAGCTCATCCATTTCCATGTCCATGTCCAATGTCATTTCACATCCAACAGCTCTCTGTTTATTCAAGAACTGTCCAATTAGTCTGGAGGGTGGATCCTCAGACATGTCCTTGCCACGCTGGAATGTCTTCGGGACGTTGTTTTGGGGCCCGTTACTCATTTCTTCTCTCCAAAATTCATAACTCGTCTCGTGCCATAACATATTATGTTCATTTCCATTGTTTTTTTCTCCACCATCAATCTTGACAATGACCTCTCGTCGGTCATTAAGATCAATGGAGGACCTTGTCGTCAACGAGGAGGAGTTGATGGAGGAGGAAGAAGACGGGGCTTCCGGGCTTCGATGAGCCAGTATAGGTTGGTTTTCGATATCGTGGGCAGCAGAGACCTTCTTATAAGAACCGTGTGGTGTTAATGATTTCTTGAGAGATGAAGAAAGTTGATCCATGATTTATAATTCCTATGTATTCTTGAGGTTTAATTAATTTCCTCTAATCCTTCAGCCTGAAAAAAAACAACATGGTTTTGGATGAATGCTTCGGTTATGGGAA